GATAGTATCTAACGACGATACTCCTCAATGGTAATATTGGCAGCAATGGAGAGAGGGGTGGAAGTCAAGAAGTGGCTTTTAGGTTGTAGTTTATCTTGGAGCATAAAAGAATCCGCCAAAAGTACAGCTATCTCTGCTTCATTAGCTGAATTTCATGCGATACCGATATTGATAGTAGGTATTATCCATGAGTCTCCAAGGCTGTGGGGAGTGGTAATTGCAAAGCTGCCTAAAACACCTTAAAGTTATTTCTCTTCCACATTTTAAAACCGTGTGAAAACCAGTACTGAGGTGTCGCTAGATCCATCCAAATCAAATCGTAACAAACGACTTTAATGTTTGACCTGAAGAAGTCAATCTCTGTCACAATTTTAGGGCTCGAGGACTTTCGAATCTGCTTTGTAGTGTTGTGATAGTCTAGTTAAGAAAAGAGGTTAAATATGAAGCCTTCCTGGCTCTTAAATAACTAACGTTCCAAGTAATCAAACTTTGGTTTTGATATTCTTTGCTAAAATTTCTAAAAATAATACTTTGCACATTTTTTTAGAAAAAATAGGAGACGCACAGAGCAACCCCATCATGGCCGGTTTATAGGATCACGCATATACTATTTAAATTGTTTTAGTTCTGAAATGCGCATAGTGTGACATCAAGCTATTCAGACGTCTGCTTTAATTAGTATTAAAGCTGTCATCTGCTTAAGGCACGTTAATTACCAGGTAAGCCATTGACAGGTGGGACAATGAATAGCTGGGAGGATGCAATTATGACACCCTGAGGATCGCCTGACGAAGTAGTAAGACAAAGTATTGCTGGAGTAGGTCTATGGCAAGTGCACAAACGAGTTGCAGGGCTAAAGGCATAAAAGAATGTCACTGCTAACAAAATGATTGTAAGAATAAGCATCCCCATTGATAAACGCTTAAATGAGTCCCTCAAAACTCGCAGTGAAGCGCGGGGAATTTTCAAAAACAATGAAGTCGTCTGCTAATAGTTAAAATTAACGCCACAATAATATTTTTGAGTATTACGCAAGCAGCAAGGTAAACTAGCCAGGTGCACCGTTGATCGAACTGGTGGTTCTAAGGTAGATTTGAGATGGGCGATCGACGGCGAGAGTATTCCGAATGGCACCGGCTTATCATAGCAAAACTTACCCATAGGATGAGCTAAAACGAAGGGTATCAGTATTATAAGTTACGAAGTTAAAGTCACTCTCAGTTTTTCTAAAGCTTATTTCGTTCCTTTTGTTTTTACAGAATTCCTAATCGTTTTGAACTTGTAAAGCGTTCTTCACTAACCCATTCAGAACTTTTAATTTTACCTTAATCAGACTTTGGAAATCGTTGTTCACAATGTGGCACTCCAGTCCATTTCTAGATAGTGATAAATTACACTATTCTTAGTGTATGGAGGGGCCACGCCAAGAAGCCACAGGCAAAGATGATTGTGGTAGAAGCTATGGAGCCCAGAGATTCACCTCTGTAATAGATGTATTTAATCCACTTTATATCACTATCCTAAAAAAATTCATTAAACTGATTGGTGAATGGTATATTCAGCGCACAATTTTGTTAGAATTCAGCGTCTTAAGGTGTTATACAGTATGGATTACAAACGAGGTGTCTACGTAAGTAGCAAGGCGTTAGTGAAATAGGAAGAAGGAATACTGAGAAATGTAGTATACAGAGCCTAAATGAGCGCAAATATTTAAAGAATAAAGTAATAGCTTGAGTACCAAGGAATAAATTTTTACTTTGGTTCAGGTAAGACTGTAAAAATTATTGCTTAGAATTGGTAAGAATCTCTATATGCACGAGGTTCACCACTTAAAGCTTACTAACTTGCATCACAACATACGAAAGTAGTAATAACCACCGATTGATCTATTGTGTTGCCCTACCAGCTGATAGCGAAGTTCCTTTAAAAATTAAGAATCGCATATGTTTCTGAGAAAATTACATCAGATTCGAAAAATGTGAAATGAAGTCAGGGTGCCCGTTGAGCTCATTCTTCAAATCGGTTAGTGTTCAATGCCTCGGAGCCAGGCTGGGGTGTTAAACTTCTTTCAGTAGCTTTCAAGCTTCTTGCTTCACCCCATTACTCCATGAATGGTATCACGTAGTTTATGTTAGCTGGTTCCACGCTTGTTATCACTCCTAGGAACCTGTCTCGATTCGTTTTACTCATTGCTACCACGGCCCCATTATTCTCAAATCTATTCATATATTTAGGTGCGGAAAAAATTGACAAAATTCTGGGATTGACAAATCTGTAGCCATCTGACAGTAATTGATGAGCTCGAATGATGGTTAATAATTCGTATTTTCTGAGAAATACTTCTG